CATTAAACCTGCATATAAGTCCATACAGCGTTAGCAATATAAATATCGATACTTTATATGGGCTAAGCCATGGTTGCGAGTGTTCCATTGGCCTCTTTTTCCCTCCAGGTATCGGTTGTTTGTTTGAAGTTAAGCACAAAGCTACACACAATGGGCTATCTGTGCTCTGACAACCACGGGTATCGAAACCCGGTTTCTAGCGCTGTAAGTCTGCAGACCTACCGCTGTGCCACTGGAGGACTCCAGATATCGTTTTACCACACTTGCTAAATTCTTAGGGAATTACATGATGGATAATATTAAGCTCATACCCGTTAGTAGTCAGGGTGCAATCAGTTTTATGTACATTTCTATTACCATTGGCTAAGATCTAGACAACATTTGTATTGGTATCCCTGTATACTTCACTGTACATGTTACGTGTTGTCCATGATATCATTCTCCTCTCTGCCATGAAAAAAAGAAAAAGAAAAAAGAGAAGAGAATATATATCGTTCATTGTTGCCAGTCAACTGTAATTTTGATTCTTAAGTAAAGAACACTCTTTTTCAGTTTTACTTATACTATTGTTTGAAGAGTAATGGCCATTTAGGCCCTTTGGTTTGGTCATCCCTAATAAGTATTTGTGTGTGTGTGTGTTTTGTAGCTGCCACGTATTCATTGCGGCCGCTGCGTGCTAATTGGTATCTTACTGTTCTAGAAGTAATATTTACAACAGTACTTACAGTTAAATCATTCATAACGTCTCTATTGGATGATCTTGTATCACGTAAAGAGCATACCATGAGCTGCATGAACTTTTGAAAAGCATATGGACGTTCTACTTCGACTGCACGATGGTTGAGTTAAAAAATAAATTAACATACAAATTAGCCAGTATAAAATCGCGGTATCAGAACAACGTTTTGTCATTGTATGGATTTATGTCTTTACGTAGGTTGTGTGATGCCACTGAAAACTGATGAATTTTTGGAAGGCTAAGTAACAGTTATTTTCGTTGCAAAATCCTAATACACTTAGTTCATAAAGATGTATTTAGGTCAGAGATTTAGAATTTTGAAGATGGAGATATCCCTAATACTTAATGGCATTGGAATACAAAGGGGTATGAACGAGCTTGTGGTTCCAAGACCATCCAGAAAGAGACCTGCAATGAGTTGTATACCAGCTGTGATAAAGCAAAGTGCCGCGTCTTGTAACAGGAGCGAATAATCCACGAACACAAATTTCAGAGGCAAAAGCCATCCACTTAACCCAGGCAATAGTACGCAACATCATTAAGGAAAGCTTCCATCTGGAACCGAAACCAACAGGTAATGGATTCATCAAGATAAAGCTTCTAATCATACCTCCCATTCAACTTTCGCATAAAGTGAGTATTCATGCTGTTCCACATGAAAACATATCACTAAAGTCTCCAAATGCAATGCCATGGATTTTTGTGTGATAAGACTGTTAAAACTGGTACTGGGAAACCATCGTACTTTTATACTAGATAGATTATTCAAATCCTGCATGGATGTGGGAGACTCTAAAATTGTTTTAATATAACGTGCTCAACTTCTTTATATATAGAATAAATAATGGTTTATAAGCATAATGAAGTGATTTATTTGGGGGGGGGACATACTATGTGTGATTATACGTGCAGAAGACACACTTATGTTCTGTCGAAATATGTGGTATGTTTATGGTTATTACTAAAATGAAAAGATAATAACTGATTTTCAGTTTACAAAAAAAAAATTAAGGCAAAGCAAGTGATTGCACAGATTTTATTATGGTTTCTTTGTAACAAATGTATTTCTTTCCCCCTGTTTGGCGGTTTTGAGGTTGAATTTCAGAAACTTTTTCATTTGATTAGGAGAGTTGTTATCTGAGCTCTTTTTTTACGATTCCATACATTTACTAATCTCCACGCCTCCTCTCCCCCTCAAGTGGCCCAGTGGTAAGTCTTATAGCACTAAAAAACAGGTTTCGATACCAGTGGTGGTTACAGCAGAAATAGCCTGTTGTGTAGCTTTGTATTTAACAACGAATAAACAAACAAATCTTCACCTATAAGAAGAACAAATAAATATTTGTTAAATGTTGAAAAACTAAAATGTTTAGGAGTCTCATAAGTTCCTGCCATATTTTTTCCCAAAACTTATTTAACCAAAGCACCGAAGCAATTGCAAGCATTTTATTTCAATTACATAACATAGCTCTGAGATGTAATATATTTTTACATTCTCTATATTTAGTTGTGTTCAAGTGTTAACAGACAAAGAAATGATTTCAGTTCATTTTTTTAAATATTTTTCAATAATAGTGCGTAATTTTAATCGTTTGGTAAATTATGTACATTATGTAAATAGTAGTTATACTAGCAACTATCACTAAACATTGGAACAAAAAGACTTAACTTGCAGGGTCTTGATTTTCTGAAAATATTTTAGGAGTGACATTGTCAGCTCTTCTTAGTACTTTTTTTTGTTTCTTTTTTTTTAAGTAGTTATTGGTGGAAAGGTTAGAAAATAAAAGGGATTGTATATATATATATGATTGCTTTTGTGAAAATTTATCCTCATTCTCTGCCATGATCAGTAAATGTTTGAAAATATGGGGCATTTATTACTTTTGTGATATATCCAGGTAAAGCTGAATTTATGCTGGATCTACACCAGATAAGTCCACTTGATAACTGAAGGTTTGGTCAAGGTTTTGATTGTGGAGTTTGTGCTTGCACCTTTCTCATGTTAGATCATTGCTTCTTGTTCGTATTCTCAACTTAAAGTCATTCATTAGACTGACTAATACTTAGTTTCTTAAGTTTAAAAAAACCTTGCATTTACCTAGCACAACATGTGTTACCACATGAACCGTCATTATCGTTACACATAAGTGGAGCTATAACCTCTAAATATCATTTATAGTTGAGGTTATACAACCATTTCAGAATACTACAGTCTAAATCCTTTCACAAGAGTGCTTTAAACAATGGTCTTTATAGGTGTTACCAATTTTGAGAGTAGCAAAGGTAACTTTGAAACAAGAACTGTATTGTGGCTGTATTGTAATGCTGGTATCCGTGGTTTGTTGGTTATCTCTCGAATGGTTTCGACAATGGTATGATGAGGAGACTTGGGTAAAACAATCAGTCCGAGGTATAGCCACTGCAGCTGTTGCTATAGGATTCTTCCTCTCCTGTGACTGATTCAAAGTTACCATTTTCTCACATCAAATTTTTGTTTCTTCTTGATGTTCTCAACTTAAGAATACAGTGTTTCATAGCTTCAAAGAAACCTCAGATTTACCTAACGCGCAACATTTGAACCCATTCTCTTTACAGATAAGTGGGGGCTGTAGCCTTAATATGCCACCTGTGTAACAATTACAGGATACTTCTGTTGACATATTTTCTCCAACTTGCTTAAAACAATATTCTCAACAGGTGGTAACAAGTATTATCAACTCTGAGAACAACAAAGAGACAAGGGCAGCTGGAAACAAGATCAACTTAACGTTTTTCTAGACGATGTTGAATGTGAAAAATGCACATATTCAGAACGAAGAATAAGTTCAAAATAAATGTTATAATGTTACAAGAAGATAGAAACCATGTTATATTCAAATACCACATTATAACTAGTGGAAAATTGATGTTCGTTTATTAAAAGCTTCTAATCTATATAGTTAACATCAGTCACCATATTAATCCAGAATTGCGTAATTGACAAGTGTGATCAATCTCAAAAGGCGATATTAGCTTCTGTAATGTAATCATTTTTGTAACCTTTATCAGTGCTTATCTGCAGTTTGTCACTGGCTACAAATCTATGCTATCGAAAATAAAGTGTGTAATTAAGACATTTATTATTTTAAAGTTATCAGAATTTGCTAAATGTATGAATAAAGTAACTTTATATTTATCTTTAAGTCTAGATAGCTAAGTGATATTAAAATGGGCCAAAGCAGACTTAAGCTAATTCCACGATCCAGTTATTTGTGGCTTTTCTGTTATGCTTTTAATAATATAACGAATAATTCATTCTGGCTAAAGAACACTGAAAGATTACTACCAGAATTTTTTCCCAACTCACAGTTTGAGTTATCTTGGAGTAAACTTAGCAGTAAATTGTTTTACTGCAAAGGCTAAAAAATGAGTTTTTAATATAACCATACCACCTACTTAAAACACAACTGTCCGCCTTTGCTTGTAGGATTTAGCACCTTGCTTTCTGCATAACATTTTGTAGTTAGTTTCACAGTGAGTGAGTTCTTTAATAGTCTTGGGTTTTGCTGGGTATCCGGTAAGGCGAGCCAAAGCAGGGAAATTTCATGTTCCAAATAAGTTGCTGGTGTAAAAATTGTTGATTCATGAATGGAAGATCTAATAGCAGAAGTAAAGTTAGGTAAAAGAGCATTCCAACTTTGAGTATTTTTATCAAGATATGCAATTATTATTCTCATATTGCTTCTATTCTTTCACGTTCGACTGAAAACGATGAGGGATAGTAAATACATGATTAATTCCCATTACTTTACAGGTTTTTGTCAAAAGAAGAGGAACAAGTTGTGGTCTATTGTGAGGGCCCGGCATGGCCAGGTGATTAGGGCGCTTTACTCGCAATCTGAGGATACCCTTTCGACCGTTGGGGCGTTATAATGTAACGGACAATCACACTATCCGTTGGTAAAAAGAGTGGCCCAAGAGTTGGCGGTGGGTGAGTACAGTTCAATATTTTACTATCAAAAAAGTTTGTCAATTAGTAAGCAACTATTTCAAAAATTACATTGGTGATAAGGCCCTTTATAAGAAACCTACAATCTGCGAATTTGTGAAAATATAAAGTGATGTAACTATTACCTAGAGGGCACTAAAATCTCTAACTGGCGGTAGTGGTGGATAAACATGACACGTAACTGATGAATATTATTTGAAAAAGTTTATTTCTTATGAAATTGGGTCGTTTTATTTCTATCGTAAAAGTTAGTTCTAACAGAAAGTAGAAAGGTGCTATGGTTTCATATTCGTGATAATTTTGTTAATTGGCATAAGGCTGGTTTTAGCTAGAAATATAGCTTAGCTAATGTGTAATGCAATAATCATAATGTAACGTTTATAAACTTAATAAATTAATAATGATAATATTATAGAAGTTCAGGTATTTATAACGCTAACCAGTGAATGAGGTTCTATTTCCCGTTAATTTTAAATATGTTGTTAACAATGACATGACATGTAACAACACTTTTCTGTAATTTGGATAAGTTTATAGAAGTTTTGCTTACTAGACCTAACAGTAACAATTACTGACATAATTCAAGTAATGCAAATTACAATTTATAAAATAAGCTATATAATATGTAATTTTTAAAAACAAAAAAGAAATATCTAGAACTGATTAGCATGTTTCTGAATATCGGCATTAAAATCAAAGTCTTCTATGATTTGTGATACTGATAAATGACAAGCATCAGAAGTGGGGATATTTAATTTAGGGATGTGGAGAATTTGAGCTAAAAGTCTGAAACATTTCCTTCTAATTGACCACTAGTGATGAAAACAAAGCTTTGAGCCCTTTATACAACACTGACATTTTAATGTGCAAATTCAACTACAGATTTTACTTAAACTTAAAAATAACTCAGAATTATGGATGCTGATGAAGTATTTGAAGTTATTGGAGAATTTGGATGGCAACAGAAGAAATACTTTCTTTTTGCTGGAATGATTGGAGGCATTTACACAAGTGGTCAGCTTCTACAAATCATATTTACTGGTGCATCACCAACTTTTGTTTGCTATGGCCATGCAGGAGAAGCCTTTAACAACACATGTTTCTTTGATAATAAACCAGAATCTTGTAAGAGATTGGTTTATACATCTGAATTTACATCTATGGCTACTGAGGTAAACTTTGAAATCTTTTCAGAGAGCTTTATATATATATATGTGTTACTATACTAATTCAAGTCTACAATACAGAATAATTAAAGACTGTGTTATGTTGTAAGTAATAACATTCTATTTGAGGGTTGAGTTGGTTACATCATAAACTACAATTCTATTAAAGTAAGGTATACCTCTCACTTGGTTAATTGTTGAATGACCATGCTTTTGCAATTAGTAAAAAGAAAGAATTTATATTAAGTTACTATATAGAAAAGAATATCTAGTATGTACAGCAGTGTTATATCTCAATTGAAAATATGTCTAATAATTGAGTATATTTTAAAACTACATACAGATGTTAATTTTTTTTTTACCATCATATTTATAGTGGGACCTCATCTGCTCACAAGCATATCAGATTAAAGCTGTCCAGTCAGTTTTCATGGCAGGAGTTCTTATAGGAGCTTGGTTGTTTGGTCAGATATCTGACAAAATAGGACGTTATAAAACAATGCTCTTGACCCATGTGGGACTTCTTTCATTCAGTACCTTTGGGGGCTTTGTACCAAATATCCAACTTCATGCCGTATGTCGCTTTATGGCAGGTGTCAACCAAGGAGGAATTGGAATGATAGTTTATGTCTGGCTTACGGAAATGATAGGTACAG